AACATGTTGTGCTCAATGAAGAAGACAACCTCCTTCTTCAAAGTCAATTTGGAGAACAAGAAATTCAAGAATGTGTTTTTGATTGTGCAGGAGACAAGGCTCCTGGTCCAAATGGTTTTACCATGGCTTTTTTCATACATTGTTGGGATGTGGTGAAGGTAGAGGTGATAGGAGCCATTCAGAACTTCCATAGTCGAGGCTATTTTGAAAAAAGTTTCAATGCTACATTTATAGCTTTGATCCCAAAAAAGATGGGGGCAACAGAATTGAAGGACTTCAGGCCCATCAGCCTGATTAGCAGTGTCTACAAGATCATATCCAAGGTCCTAACAGAAAGACTCAAGAAAGTGATGTCAAAGCTGGTGGATACACATCAATTGGCATTCATCAAGGGCAGGCAGATCATGGAAGCCATACTAATACCCAATGAATGTGTAGATGTGAGGAAAATAACTAAAATTCCTGGGATTCTATGTAAGTTGGACATAGAAAAGGCCTATGATCACCTCAACTGGGACTTTATGTGGTACACACTAGAGAGGATAGGCTTTGGAAATAGGTGGATAAATTTGGTTGAAGTATTGTGTGAGAACAGTCAAATTCTCAGTTCTAATAAATGGTACCCCATCTGGTTTCTTTCCCTCTAAAAGAGGATTAAGGCAAGGGGATCCCCTATCCCCCTTCCTTTTTATCCTAGCTATGGGAGGACTAAGTGACATGTTGAAAACAGCACAATCAAACAACATGATCAGAGGTTTCTGGACGAATGATAGTGACACCAGGGGTTTATCTATCTCCCATTTGCAGTATGTTGATGACACCCTAGTGTTTTGTGGTGCAGAGGAAGATCAACTAAAGCATCTAAGAATCATATTTATATTGTTTGAAATTGTTTCTGGACTACATATAAACTGGAGCAAAAGTTTTGTCTACCCAGTGAATGAAGTCCCAGATAGGCTGGCATTTAGGAGGTAAAGTGGGAGAAATGCCTACCACTTGCCTAGGGATGCCTCTAGGGGAAAACAGTAAATCAAAGAACATATGGAATGCAATGGTGGAGAAGTGTGAAAAAAAGCTGGTAAATAGGAGAAGTCAATACCTATCCTTGGGTGGAAGATTGACACTAATTAATAGTGTGCTTGATGCTATGCCAACCTACATGATGTCTTTATTCCCTACGCCAGGGAGTGTTTTAAAGAAGTTAGAATCCATCAGGAGAAACTTTTTATGGCAAGGAAATGGAGAGGGGGGAAAGAAATATCACCTGGTGAAATGGGAAGTGGTGATAAACAACAAAAAAGAAGGGGGAATGGGCACAAAGAATCTCAAAGTTCAAAACCAGAGTTTCCTTTTGAAGTGGTTGTGGAGGTTTGCTTCTGTAGAACAAGGTCTGTGGAAAGATGTTATAATCTCCAGATATACCATGGATGATTCATGGACTACAAAGGAAGTTAGAAGCCCTTATGGGGTTGGTTTATGGAGAACAATCAGGAATTTGTGGCCTAACAAGGTGGCTTGTTTCACCTAGTTGGTAGTTAGGGAAGCAGTACTAACTCAGGACAATCTAATGAAAAGGGGAAGCCAGTTATGCTCCAGGTGTTTTTTTGTGAAATAGAAACAGAGACAACAAACCATCTCTTCCTCCATTGCAGAGTGACAGAGAAATTGTGGCAGGTCTTTTTGAATTTGAGGGGAATCAGCTGGTCCATGCCAAGACACACCTCAGATCTTCTAGCATGCTGGAATAGAGAAGGGAATACATCAGGTCACGAGGAGAGATGGAAGATTGTCCCTGCTTGCATCTGGTGGACAATTTGGAAGGAAAGGAACCAGAGATGCTTCGAAAACAAGAGCATCCCTTTCCAGAGTTTAAAGTTGAACTGTCTTATAACCCTTTATTTTTGGTGTACTCATGTCCTCCTCAAAGAGATGGAGGCTATTACTCACTTTTTAGATAGTTTAGGAGGGGTATAAATGATAGATCTTTTGGTTTTGCTTACTGTATACTCCTGATGTAATTACTACTGAAATACACCATTGGTGTATTGTTGTCTATAAAATGTTAACTTTCTCAAAAAAAAAAAAAAAATTGTGCAACCAAGATTTCCAAAAAAGGGACAATGATGCTACACTTTATGTCAAGACACTCCCTAATGATGGCTCATTAATTGTTTCTTTACTTGTTGATGATTTTCTTGCTACAGGCAGTGATGAGCAAGAGTTGTACAAGTTTAAAGTGAACATGGAGAAACAATTTGAAATGTCCAATTAAGGAGAGATGAAGTATTTTGGGGGCAAGAAGTATACCAATCAGAGGTTGGAATTTTTCTCAACCAGAAAAAGTATGCTTTGGAGATTCTGAAAAAAATTCAGAATGCAAAATTGCAAACTAGTTCCTACACCATTGGTTTTGAATACCAAATTTTCAAAGGAAGATGGAGCCGAAAGTGTGATGTTTCATTTTATAGAAGTTTGATTGCAAGTCTCTTGTACTTGACGGCTTCAAGACCTGATTTAATGTGTGTTGCTAGTTTGTTTTCAAGATTTATGCAAAGTCCACATTCATTTTGCAGCTGCGAAAAGAGTGCTTAGGTACCTAAAAGGTACTATACAACTTGGAATATGGTTTAGACCGGTTGAAGAAGGTACATAGCTTGGCTTTATTGATAGTGGTTGGGGCGGAAATATTGACGATATGAAGAGCACTACTGGCTATGCTTTTTCCTTGAGTTCTGGAGTGTTTTCATGGAATTCAAAGAAGCAAGAAATAGTGGTGAAATCCACTGCAGAGGCAGAGTCTGTAGCAGCATCTACAGCAGCAAATCAAGCTATTTGGTTGAGGGAAATTCTCAAGGATCTTGGAATGGAATTGCAAGTTGCAACTAAGATCAAGTTTGATAATAAATCAGCAATTGCAATTGCAGAAAATACAGTGCAGCATGTAAAACAAAGCATACCCTTATCAAGTTTCATGCCATTAGAGAAGCCGAGAAAAAGAAGGAAATCAAGCTTGTTCATTGTTGTTCCGAGGATCAACTCACTGATATATTTACCAAAGCTCTTCCCAAATTCAGATTTGAAACTCTTTGTGGCAACTTGGTGTTACCAGCAAACATATCAAGGAGGAGTCTTGAAGTATTGAGATATTTACCGTTATTGTTTCTTTTTAATTTAGTATTCTAGTTCTGAAAATTTAGTTATTTAGTTAATGTAGAATAGGAGTTTATTTAGTACCCTGGTTGAAATAGAATAGGAGTCTTTCATCTATTTATTTCTATGACATGAATGAATAAAATAAGCAAAAAAATTTGGTTTGCGTATTCTTTCCCTCTTCTCTGTAGTCTGTAGAACAAGAAGCTTGGTCAAACAAGCTCTTACTTGAACTTCTAAAATTTTAATTGATGAATCTAGCGCATTATTTGAATTTATTTTTAAATTTCAGATTTTTATCCTTTGGAGGAAGTTCAGAGCAAAACAAGTCAAAATCAAGCAAAATGGATGATATTGGAAATTTGATTAATGTTGTGGGATTTCAATGGGTATGTTGGTTGTTGTTGTATTTTTTTTAAATCCTGACCAACTCAAATATCCTCTAAACAGTCTCAAATTTTAGATATGAGCTCCTCTTGATGTTTTGGATCTTTCTAATATATTATTTACTCAAAACAATTCAAGTTGGTAGCACGTCAAATTTTTAAATCGGACTTTAAAGAAGATGTAACAGCTAATGGAGTCTTTCAATCCTTACCAACTCAAAATCTCATCTTAACAGTCCTAAATTTTAGATATGAGCTCCTCTCAATATTTTGAGTCTTTTGACATATATTTCACTTATGTTACCTTCTCAAAAAAATATATATATAATTCACTCGAAACGATCTACCACGCCGAATTTTAGAATCAATTTTGAAGAAGCTTTAATGCTTGAACATGGAGGAAGAAAGAGGAGGAGGAATGAAAAAGGAAAGCAACAAAGCAAGAAGGAAGAAGGACTAGGAAGGAAGGAGGAGGAAGAGAAGAAGAAGCCATTAATGGCTAGAGAAGAAGAGGACCGAAGAAGAAAGGGGAATCAGTAGATGAGAAAAGTGCACTTCGCTGGAAATTAAAAGTGGCCGAAAGGCCATTTTAAGTAATTAATGATTGAATTATTTTTTGCATGGAATTTTGATCCAATGGACATTTTTTCTAATTTTCCCTATTTCCTTTACATGTTTAGAGTAGTTTTGTGTTCCCTTAGGCCTTAGTTAACATGGCATCTTGGAATTATCAATGGTTGGATTGGATGATGGCAATTCATTTTTTGAGCCTCTATTTACTAATTTTGGAGGAAACCAGCAATGGCAAAAATATCTATATGTTCTCGAGAGCGAGTTGTGTGCACCACTCATTCATGTGGGAAATATGTGCAATCTTTGTGGTTATCTACCACACCCTTTAAGAGGTATCCTTATGCACCCCTTACCTTTCCCCAAGCCCTTTATGATGATTCTTCTTTAGTTTTTAATGATACTAGAGACTATGAAGTGGAGGATGTGGATCAATTTTGGATCACAAGACATTTTCAAAAAAGGGGCGACTCAAATGCTCAATTTAAGAGAATAAAGTTTTTTCTAGAGCGCATAAGTGACACATACAGTGATCAAGTCTTGGATAATTTGATGGAGAATATGCAAAGAAATGGCATAGTCATTCGCGAGTTAGAGGCTTAACTAGGACAATAATATACATCACATTTCAACGGTTGATTCAAATGTTTCTATTGGTATTGTTTAACTGCAAAAAAAATGATCTTTTGATAAATTTCTTTTGTATTTGCATTGTTTCTCTCAAGCTCACACCCCGAGTTGCAAGATAAGTTAAAACCTTGTAGAGTCCAGGTCATCCTGCATCACCTCTGTTAGAAAAATCCTTAGAATTGTCTTGTTGATATCAGAGAAAATCACCGAGCAAATTGAATAACAAGAGGGGTGTGACAAACATGAAGTTTAAAATTCACAAACCAGTGATTCCTCGCAATCTCCTTCCACTGACTCCGACAAAAGAGACAGAATGTTCCCTAGGTGCTTTTGTAAATAGGATAACTGATGAGCCTCTTCATCAGACTGTGATGGCATATTTCGTCGACTATTGCTACGTGCAAGCTGCAATTATAGAAACAAGACGTCTGGTTATTACTTCGCAGCAGTCCAACATGTGCTTATGGAACAAGCCAGAATGACGCAATATTTATATGAAACGCATAATAAAGTCATTAAAACAAGCCATAATGGAGGCCAAGTCTTTTTAATGGATTTCCGACATGACAGGTATGACAAAAATAAAGGCAAGGAGTCGAAGGGTAGCAATGTAAAAGTTGGGGGAGATCATGGAAAAAGCAAAGAGACCTACCAACAACACCTTAAAACTCAAGATGCCAACAAGTCCGATTACAAGAAGTTGAGTGGCTGCTAGAGCTATGCCAAGAAGAAAGCACAAGTCGAGAAGAAGGGCTGCTATATATAGAGGTCCGCACGGTTTCAAGAATTGTCCTGACTTAAAGTCTTAGTGCCATAGTGTGTAAGCAGAAGGGGCAAAAGCAAGGAGAGAGTTTGGGTGCAACACAGTTGTGTATATAGGACTATGTTGACTATCAAGAAGCAATCTATCCAACCCAACGATGATGCAATCATTACGAGGATCTCACAACCAACAACAAGCTCACCCGTGCACTGGTAGACACTGAAGCAACTCACAGCTTTGTGACCAAGGTCGCAATAAAAGTACTAAAGTTCAAGCTCGCTCCAACTAACTCTTGTGTTAAGACTGTGAATGTCAAGGCTCAAAATGCTCATGGTGTAGCTAACGACGTTGGTGTCAAATTGGGCATTTGGAAAGGTATAACATTTTTTTACCGCCGCTATGATGGATACCTGGAAGGCAAGGGTGGTCTGGAAACCAAGGTGGAAAGGGAGATCACTAATATAATCAGAGAAGTTTGGGGAAACAAATGTGTTGATTATATTAGAGGCTAGTGGGACTAGAGGAGGCATTGTCATAGTGTGGGACAAAAGAGTATGGAAAGGGAAAATTAGTATTGTAGGCATGTGCAGTGTCACCTGCAGTTTCACAGCAAAGTGCCAAGTTGTAAATTGGCATCTCATAGGAGTTTATGCTCCAAATGGCAGGGAGGAGAGGGAAGAAACTTGGTGGGAGATTGGTGCAGCCAGGGGACTACCTTGGGTCCTTTGTAAGGAATCCAGGCAAAGAAGCAAACGACCTCGATATTTATGCAAACTTTATATCCAAAAGGCCTATGATCACTTGAACTGGCTGTTTTTGATGATGATGCAAAGGATGGGCTTAGGAGTCAACTGGATAAGATGGTGAAATATTGAATTAGCATAGTGAAGTTTTCAATCCTAATAAACATGACCCCCAATGGATTTTTTCCCTCTCCAAAGGACTGAGACAAGGTGATCCTTATCACTTTTCCTCTTCATCCTAGCTATGGGAGCCAAAAGTAAATCAAAGGGGGATATGGAATGGGATGATAGAAAAATGTGAGAAAAAGTTGACCAATTGAAGGAGTTAGTTCTTTTCTTTCTTTTTTTTTGGGGGGTGGGGGGGGGGGGGGGTTTAGATCGTAGATCGACCATGGTCAATAGTGTTCTAGATGCAATGCCTGCATAGATGATTTCAGTAGTCCCACCCCTTGACAATGTGATCAAGAGAATAGACATGCTAAGAAGAAAAATAGTTTGGCAACGAAATGAAGACAAGAAAATTCCATCGGGTCAAATTGGAAGAGGTCATGAAAAGCAAGAAGGAAGGGAGAGTTGGGATCAAGAATATGAAGATGCAAAACAAAAGCCTAATGATGAAGTGGCTATGGAAATTCATCACAGGAGAGAATATGTTGTGGAAGGAGGTCATCTATGCAAAGTATGAAATGGAGGATAAATGGATTACCAAAATGGTGACCACTCCTTTGGTTGCTGGAGATCAGTTATGAATCTGTGGCCATTACTACTGTCCATAATAAATTTAAAGGTGGGGAATGGACTAAAAGTGGCATTCTGGGAGGAAAAGTGGATAGCGCAGAGAACTTTGAAGCAGTTATTCCCTGATCTACACCTATTAAGCTTTCAGCAACAGGCCACTGCTGCGAAAATGTGGACATGTCAAGGTTGGAACCTTCAGCTCAGGAGAAATTTAAATGATTGGGAGGTGGAAAGGATAGGTACCCTATACAACACCTTAGCCCCTTTCAACAACTTAACTGGGGAAGAAGACACTACAATATGGAAGGTAGGCAACAAAGGAGCTTTCACTGTGAATTCCGAATACCGGAATATCACATACAATGTCAATTGTTTCACATGGTTGCTAACCAGAGAAGTAGTACTGACACCGGACAACATGAAGAAGAGGAAATACCATTTATGCTCCAGATGTTACTTATGTGAAGAACAAACCAAGACAGTCAACCATCTCTTTTTACACTGTAAACGGGCAAACAGCTATGGAGACTATTCATCTGCTTGCGGAAAATCTCTTGGGTGAAACCAAGGAACATAGAAGGAGTGTTGAAGTGTTGGATTAGAGTTGGCAATGCTACAACAAATGAGGAAAGATGGAAAATTGTCCAAGCTTGTATATGGCGGACAGTGTGGAAAGAAAGGAATCAAAGATATTTTGGGGAAAGCAGAGCAATTTATATAATTTTAAGATGAATTACCTGACTTTATATTACTTTTGATGTGAACAAAAAGTGTTAGGACAGAATGAAGATATTTTAGAAGTTTTAGACTATTTGTAACAAAAAGAACAAATAGGCCTCCTAGATTGTAATACATTTGGAAAGGGGGACTAAACTTTGATGTAGTATACTTGTGGATATATAGATGGAAAAGTTGCCATTTCTCAAAAAGAAATAATGCCTTGAAACTGATGGGCCTCTCTCTCCCTTTTTTTTTAAAAATAAAAGTACTCCATCTACTTTATTCTGGAACAAAGAAGTAAGGAAAAGAGATCAATCAATTCACGCAAGATCAATCAAGAGAATACCATGGATCCAGGCTATGTTGCTCGGACACTTGAAAAATGTCGACGGGTGCGTGTCGGATCCTCCGAAAATAGTGTATTGTTGAAGGATCCGACACGGGTGCAGCAACATTTTTGGAGAGTCCGAGCAACTTAGGATTCAGGTACTTCCCTGTCTTATGTACCATTTTTTGGATGTAATGTGAAAATCATTAAGTTCTACTATCCTAATGTCATGTATAGGGTTTTGTATTAGTTTGTTTATGGTTTACTATCAACAATCCGTTAAAATCCTTACAAAATTGTACTTTTTCTCAAAGTCTTTTTAACATGGTAAACAATCCATATTTTAGCTTCTTCATGTGTCTAAATCTTATTACAGGAACCTTAACTACCACTAAAATTTTCCAATAGATAACAAAAAATGCACAGAAAGCTCAATATATATTATCAATTCAATGATAATTCTCTTTGAAACAGCAGTTCAAAAAAATGCTAGAGTTCTGAACAATATCCTCACCTGCAATGGTGACAATGCAGACAAGAACCCATCGAAAGCTGAAGTGGAGGGCCAAACATCAGCTACAGCAGCTGAATCCTTATGTCCTTTAGGGAGCAACCTCTTGTAACTCTGAATGTACAAAAATACAACCAAATCAAATACATTAACACCAACAGACCCAATCTCAGAGGGCTTAGCGGTAACGAGAGGGTCAGAGACGGAGTGAAGAACACAGGCAATGGTTTCAAGGAGAAGTTGAGCTTGGTCAGGCGAGATCTGAAGGGACTCAGCAATGGATTCCGGGTTAACACGGTAAGTTGATTCAGACGAAAGGGACAATAGCTTGTCCTTAATCGGACCTAGGGTTTGTGTTCCGTCGGTGAAAATTAGCTTTGGGATCGGTAATAGGCCGTGTTCGAATGGCTCTCTACGTGGGTGTATGTAAGCTGGGGAGGGGGATGGTATCGTTGCGGGTGATGGTGTTTCATCGGTTACTGCCATTGGTATTATGGGAAAGAAGAAGGGAAGGAAGAGAAAAGCTAGTGAAAATGGTAGTGATGGGAAGAATATCAGGGAGAGAAGAAGCGGGGCTGAAAAGCCCGCTTGGCCCGTGCTTCAACGCGGGCGGTTTTTTCCTGGACAGTAGGTTAGACAGAACGTTATTTTTGGTGCATTTTTGAGTGAACAATGCTCACATTTCCTTTTGTTTCCTATATCTATGCTCTCGTTGTCACTCCCCAAATTTTGGCCCACACGAACTGACATTTGGTGTATTTAACTTGCTCAATCAAAACAGCTCTACATGATATATACATACTTGAAACATATATGAAATAAAATCATTAAGTAATTTTTATTCATAAAATATTGTCTTTAAGTTCATGTCATAAGAATCTAATAAATCGAAAAAACTTATGGAGTTTGCATAAGTGAACATTTAGACTCGTGTATCTGTGAAGCCTCTAAATATTACATGAATAACAACGTTTACTAGGACAAGGTCTCGGCATAGCCATAAGCTAACAAAGCTGAATAAATAAAGATTATGCCACGAGATCAAGTAAGGCTCACCAAAAGTTGAGTGTGGAAAACCTAGCGTGTAGCTCTGTCTTCCTGAAAAGTTGAAACTATATCGTGAAATGCAGTGCCCGTACAATAGGGTCGTAAGTAAATGTGGAGTGGTACTTGTATGTAATACTAGAATGGCAAAAATGACGATGGAGAAATCGACCTGTTTGTACAAAAATTTTGAAGGATAAAACAATTTAACCCCAAAAATATGACGATGGAGAAAAAATTGTGTGTACACCAATACTTTTCCATGGAGATCAAATAGTTGACGAAGCAAACAAAGATTTTATATATGTAATAGTTATAGGTAACATTCTAAAAGGCTGGTCTGCAAATAGGTATGTGATAGTGCTTCTGTCTTCATATAATCGACATTGTAGATGAGAATCTTGAAGAACACTTACAAAAAAGGGAATAGAATAAATGGCTTGTAATTTCATCTTGGATCAAGATTTAAATATGCATATGGTATGAGAAGCTAAGAGTACTAATTTTCCAATTTAATTAGATGTATTGTAGCAAGAAATAATCAAATTTGGAGAGTTAGAACTAATGCCCAAATATTCAAGAACCTTCACCAAATGGAATACAAGTCACTTTTGAAAGGAAAAAAAGAATGAAGAAAATTAACGCATTTAGATTAACAGATAAACAATCTAACTTAAACGATTCTCATGATTTCTATTCCCTCACCAACCATGAAACATAAGAGTCAGAATTATCGTTGCGCCTTTGCTACAGTGAATCTTCTCAATGAATTTAGCAATTACAGTTTTCACTTTCTTGTAGTTCTCTTCATTAAATATGCACATATGCACAAAGAAGAATTCCGAAAGAAATGTACAAAATTTTCAAAAGCAATATTCAATAACCCACTAGAATGTGGGAACCTCAACAACCCAAATCTCACCAACTTTCAGTACCATACAAGGCTCCATGATCGAAGTGTCTTGCACGCAAACTTATATTTCTAGAAGTGCCATGTATTAGAAATATTGCGAAATAAGCTCTGCCACCTTTTTTCCTCAATTGAGTAGATAGACCAAGTCAAAGGTTTATTTAGCAACTAATACCACACTTGATGTATGTTGCAGCTCACACTGAAGTGATTCACTTTCTCCATTTAAGAATTGATACAATAATAGAAAATCAATTTTAGCTTCTCATCCTAATTTCTTTAGTAAAGAAAACAAACACTAAAAGAGTTCACAAATCACATTTATAAGGATTTTTCCAGTTTCCAGCATGATAATTCTACTACTATTGTTCATATTTTTTCATTTCTATTTGTTGTTGTACCTACAATTGTTTCACAGGCCTTTTGAAACTTACCTGCAAACCGTATCGTGTGAAAGGCTCGTTCTTTAATTGACTCCTTGTAGACCATTCATGCAGGGCACCTCACCTTCGTTGATGGGCAATCTTTCAGTTACCTCAGGCAACTTTATAGCCAGCAATCAAGTTGTCTTTGCCTGATGCTTAATCAAACTGGCCTCATCTGTTTTCCTATCAATACCACAATAGTTCTTTAGTTGACACTTCTCTGCATGATGCACCTTGACAACAAAAGAGAAACTTATGTTATCTTTAGAAAGCGGATAAATGTCAAACAACTATGAATCTAAAGAGGCATTTTAAATTCATTGGCAAATAAAATCACCACAAAATGGTAAAAACTATCCTATAAGCGATAAGTTCCAAGAATTTCATAGGAGTTGGTCGGACTTGGTGATTGGTAGCTGGGTTATGGCTTGTAGAATTTGTTTGCAGATGGCGCGATAGCAACAATGCCTCTTTGATGCAAAAAGAACTTCAACTGCTGACTTAACTGAAAAAGGTAATATAAATTTGAAATTTAAAAAGAACAAAGACACAACAAAAGAAAGACCAAAGAAGTATAGCAAAGAAGTGAGATTTACAATTACCAGGACCAGGTGGATGGAATAAGAAAGACCAAAAAAGTATAGCAAAGAAGTGAGATTTACAATTACCAAGACCAGGTGGATGGAATAGATCAGAAGATGTAAATATATTCATGGATAAAATAGGAATTACAAATAGAAGATCCATGACAATAACCACCACATTTTGCCTAGGAAGAAGTACAATGACAATCAACAAATTATATGTATTCAACAAAATCTACAAATGAATCGAGCTTAAATTCAATATAAACACTTACACAATCTCTATAATGCCTCAAGTATTCTGTTCATGTTAGCTTCTTGAACTTCAAGGATCTAATGTAATTATTTGCACTGCGTGGAATGTGTTATTTTGGGATTGCGGGTTACAATACTCAGTAACAGATGTTGGTAAAGTGATTCATGCATAAGTTTGTCGTTGGCTTCCTTCATATTTCAGTCAGTGCTTATGATGTTGGTCTATCGGAAACAACCTTTTTACCTCCAAAGATAGGGAGTAAGGTTTACGTGTTGATCTTAAATATGCCTAGAAAGCTAATAATGTCACGCCCCAAACTCAAGGGGCACAACTGGCTCCTAATGCCATAACTCAAGCCCGAGTTGACCCTTCTGAACCATTTGCTACTAGCACATGGCAGCCACACGCAATCAAGAAAACAAACAAGTATATCTCGGCATAAAATTAAGCTAACGGTCGGCAAGGCCCCTGTCAACAGATCTATAAAAGAAACAGCTACTCCCAAGAGTTCATATAAAGAAATAGTCAACTAGCACAAAAGTCTTAATTGGGCCGTCAAGGCCACCATGATCTCTATAGCGAAACTAAAAGCAGGTATATATCAATACAATACATCAAACAGCTAACAAGCATCAGCAAACCAACAAACTAGGCCAACATGGCCATAACGTAGTTGTACACCCCACACACTAGTCTGGAAGCCTCTAAGAGTAGTAAAGATTGGCGGGACTGTAACACCCCGACTTTTCAAAACGTCTAAATTAACTCGTATCTTCGTGGAAAGACAAGGAGGGTGAGTAATAAATTAAAAATGATGTGTTATGTGATATTTTAAGTGTTCAAGTGTTGTATCTCAAGTTTTGAAGTTAGATAAGTGGCAACATAAAAGTTGGTGAAAGTTACCGTAAATTCCTTTTTAAAGATTTGTCTAAAATTTGAGTCAAATGTCTCGGACGTTTTCTCCCAATCTATTAAGAGTTGTGGTCCCCAAAAGCTACGAAATCGAAGGTCTACAAGTCTAGTTTCCAACGCATCAAACCGTTCATTCATACGACTTCAGAATAGAGAGATATTCACATTTTCGTGGGACTGCGCAAGCAGGCACGTGAGGTGGGGCCCTAAGTCGGTGGAATGTTACATATATCTTCTCCTTCGACATTTTTCTTCATTTTTAAGCTAAAAACCAGAGAAATTAGAGAAACCCATTTCTAGGATCAAGTGAAGTATAGATTTTCTCGACTTAAGTCCTTGACGAAAGTTGTTCTCCGCGTTGGGCTCATCATCGTGGTATAATTTGTTTTATCGATTGCGTAGCATATCACACTTTAGTGTTGGGACAGCAGGGGTTTGAATATATTTGAAGGTTTTGAGGTGAATTACGAACCTAAGATCGAGGTAAGACCCTTCTTTCATCGATTCTAGCTTTTATAAGCAGCAAATAGCAATTTGCGACAGAAATACATATCTTTTATCGTATTGTCATGGTATCTTTTATTTTGTGTGTTGATTATGGTCCTACCTTGTTGTAGTATCGAGGGAGTTATGAGTTAAAGTCGTTAGGCCACGTGAATTTAGCGAAAAAGGTATGTTAAGGCTATTCTCTTCCTATGGCATGTTTCCTTAAAGCTTAGGAGCAATGTAATTGAGTTGTTATCGTTGTTATACTTGTAGCCATTATTGTTGATTGTTGGCTGCTCGAGTGCGTATAATCCTCTCTTATCTGGATTCTTATTCAGTAGTAACATTCGTATGTTGGACACGACTTAGAAGCTATCTGTATAGGTTGCCTATAACTAAATTGCTCACTTTTAGCTGTTGGATTGTTATTGTTGCCTTTGGGCTATTGTGGTTAGCTGCAGGAATGTGATCTATGCCTAGCAGGGTTATGTTCTGCCTACAGGGCTATATGGATGCCTAAAAAGGCTATGAGTTGCCTACGGGGCTATATTGATGCCTAGAAGGGCTATGAGTTGCCTACAGGGATATATATTGACGCCTAAGAAGGTTATGTGCTTCCTACAGGGCCATGTTGTTGCCTAAGAGGGCTATGAGTTGTCTATAAGCTATGTTGATGCCTAAGAGGGCTATGTGACTGCATGCGGGGCTAGGGGACTACCGATAAGGGTATACAGGCTGATTGGCACCTTCCGGGCTTATGAGGGCCTGAGTAGGTGGTCTTGTGTGTTGTTTGTACCTACCGAGCTTATGGGGGCTTGGTTAGGTTGTTGTTTTATTATTTATGATAAATTTAGATTTAGAAGCAGGTCAGTACAATTATCTTATCCTTAATTTATTTATCAGATTATTCCAGTATATCAGGATACCTCATCATAGTCTATTGCCTTTCATACTCTGTACATTATTTTGTACTGACGCCCCATTGCCTTA